GACCAACAGCCAAGTTTATATTTAGCACTGCACAAGTCAGCATCCTTTCATGCCTTAATCACTGTAGTAACAGGAAACCATTTGGGAGTTATAACAAATGATGCAGAATTTTTTATTTGCTGTCAACCTGTGGATTGTTTTTTTCCCATCAGAATCTTAAGGGAATGCAATTGAAGATCAATGGACATGGTTTTTCAAATTTGTGTTTTGCTGTAAGTGCTGAGATTTTGGCAGTTTGTTAAAATGCTGAGAAAAACAAAGGAGGAACAGAGGACGGTTGGGATGAATATGATCTTATTCCATGAATGAACTCATGCATCATGGTCAGAATTTACTCTTAAGGATCTACCTGTAGATACTGGATGAAGCAGTATAACACACATCTCACTTCTAGGATTCAATCCAGAGTTCTGGGGACAAGGATCCTCTTATGGAATATCTCTTTTTAGTAGACACACCAGTTGCTTTGATTTCTTGTTGTATGCAAGTGAAGCCCTTGCCATTCCCTGCCCCTTTGCTCTTGTGAGACCTCACCTGGAGCATTGTGTGCAGTTCTGGTGTCCTCAACATAAAAAGGACATGGAACTGTTGGAACAAGTCCAGAGGAGGGACACGAGGATGATCAGGGGACTGCAGCACCTCCTATATGAAGATAGGCTGAGAAAGCTGGGGCTGTTGAGCCTGGAGAAGAGAAGGCTGCGTGGAGACCTCATAGCAGCCTTCCAGTATCTGAAGGGGGCCTATAGGGATGCTGGGGAGGGACTCTTCGTTAGAGACTGCAGTGACAGGACAAGGGGTAATGGGTCCAAACTTAAACAGGGGAAGTTTAGGTTGGATATAAGGAGGAAGTTCTTTCCTGCTAGGGTGGTGAGGCACTGGAATGGGTTGCCCAGGGAGGTTGTGAATGCTCCATCCCTGGCAGCGTTCAAGACCAGGTTGGACGAAGCCTTGGGTGACATGGTTTAGTGTGAGGTGTTCCTGCCCATGGCAGGGGGGTTGGAACTTGATGATCTTAACATCCTTTCCAACCCTGACTATTCTACGATTCTATGATGTGTATCTGAATGATTTACTGAAATGATGTGGACAGGCGTTTGAATTTGAGGCAAAACTCTTCCTAATTTCCAAATGAGACCCTAACCTTCAGATTCCTCTTCCTTCTTGATATTAATTGTTAAAACATCAATCTCATAAGATTTGGGTCACCGTTTAAAACCTTATAAAACACTGCTCACGTTTAAAACCTTATAAAACACTGCTCATATTTTTGTCTTGGACTTGCTACTCAGCTGTAGCATGTGTCTTCCTAGGGCAGCCCTGGCCACAGTACCTCTTATCACTGTCACGAGTTTCATGCCCCTGGGTGAGAGTAAAAGATTGAGCTATGAAATTTTATGGGAGTATTAGCTGCAATTTGAATAAAACATAATATGTGCCTTTAGGCTTGCAGGTTCTTTTGTATGCCAGGTCTTAAAAATCGATACCTCAGGAACTGGTGATGACAGCTTTCTGGGTTTTGGTTGCTTTATTTTTTCACCAACTGCCTGAATAAATGAACTCCCATTACCCGTTAGTCCACTGGGGGGGTTTATCAGCTAAGGAGAATAATCTTAAAACTAAATTCAAGTACTTGGTTTAAATTGGCTACAACTGGCAGAGTTAATTTAACTCACTTGATTTGAGGCAAGCTGGGGGTAATCGTGAACTCATGTTGACAGTTCTGTGCTCCCCTGGGCTCTGTCTATTAAAAAAAAAGTAATTAGCAAAAAAAGGTGTAAATTCAAAAAAGATCAAGGACAGGTTTAAGAGGCACTTAATTTTTTCTCTCTGCCCCCCCCTCCCCCTTGCTAATTCAGGGCTCATGACCCGTGTTGCACTTGAACCTTGGATTATAACTTCCCTTATGGTAATGAATGTCAGTTAGCAGTATTCCTTACTCTGCCATTTCATTTTATTCCTTCTGCAATAAGATTGGATGAGGCTTTGAGCAACCTGCTCCAGTGGAAGGTGTCCCTGCCCATAGCAGGAGGTTGGAACTGGATGAGCTTTAAGTTCCTTTCCAATCCAAACCATTCTGTGATTCTATAAAGATGAATTCTGGTGCCTGTGGCACAGGATGAGCTGGTGAATGGCTGTCATGAAATGCAATACTGGAGTCCAGTACTGCCTCTTTTCCCGGACATCTAAACTCTTGAAACTGTTGGATTGTGACTGAATTAATTTATTGAAAGGAGATTCTGCAGTTTGGACCTTGTTTTCCCTCCAGTAAAACAAGTGAAGGGCATGTTTCCTTTGCTGTACTCTGAAGGTTTCTTTTCATGGGGTGTTTTGTATTTTTTTGCTGAGCCTTGGAAACTCGAATAGTCAGAACAGTTTCCTAACAATACATACCTGATTCTGAAACACATTTTGTTATCCAGAGTTTTAGAAGATTGCTTTAAAGAATTCTTTTGTCTCTGTGGGATATGTTCCCCAGGTGCCTTCCTATCTTTCAAAGTATGTTATGGTTTAAAGGGGTGGTATTGGAAGTGATTCTGTAAAAAGGTTACTGGCTTTCATGCCACAGTAGTTATTTAATTCTTTCAACTTTCATTCCTTTTTTTTCCCCTCCCAATATTCCAGCTTTAAACTAAACCTCGGCCTCTGCAAGTCTTGCTGAGCTGGTCCTTCCCCGTCGGGCAGTGATCTGTACCTCGCAGTGGCAGAGCTTACTTCATCTGTCAGTGAAGTCATCTTTGTGCTTAAAGGGTTGTTTTGGTGCTCCACAGGAGGCAGGTTTTTCCTTGAGTCTGGTCCTGCAGGTACTGAATGAAAGGGTCCTCAGCAGCCTGATCTGGTTTGGCTCTGCTTTGTGCAGGGCTGGGACTGGGTGTCTCTTCAGGCTAAAGACTTGGCTTGGCAGAGGCAGAGAGAGTGTTGGGATTGGAGCTTCCCTCTCTGGAGCATGAGCAGGTTTGATCTGCACTAGTTATCTGAGCTTTGTCTGTCTCACTTCTCCTATCTCTCTCTCATTAGTTAGTACATGTAAGCCCAGTTTTTTTCCCCAGATTAATCTTTATGATAGAAGCTGTACGTCAGGCAGATTGCCAGATGAGTTTGGCAAGACTCTCTCTTACGAAAGAAAGTTCTTATGGATGTGGCAGGAAGATGCTGTCACCTATGCAAGAATTTCCTATGGCCAGACAAGAGCAGTGTGGTCTCCAGAGCACAGTGCCACTGTAGTGCTTAGTGACCCTTTGTTTAATATTGAAGTGCCTTAGGTGCCCTGCTTCATGAAATGGTTATTTAGCAGATATCCCACCCTACTGAAAAAGGTTATGTCAATGATGAAGCAATTTTTGCTTATATTTGATCCTTTGCTGTTTCCCCCTACCTTGCAGTAACTCATCATTCCTCTAGCCCCAAAGTAGTGTCCCCCAAACACCCTTCTTCTGAAACCATCCCAAGATAGCTCTTTATTTATGTTCTGGAGGAGCAGGTTTATGTTTTTTAATTAATGTGATTTGAAGCTTCCATTATTCATAGATGTGAAAGTTTGTTTTTTTTTTTCTACCAAAAGCTTGCCCTCAATTCCTCCTTTTGTAATAAGTTCCTAGAATCAATTATGCACTGGGTTTTAGCTTTGTTTAATAGCTTTCTCTCTACACTGAGTGGAGAGTAATTACGTAGACTGCCATGTGCTGTCAAACTCAGGAATCTGTTGTAGTTAAATGCACAAGACTGATGTTAAATCCACTAGAGGCTCGTAATACTTTGTGACAAACTTGAGTAGTCTTCTTTGTGTTCATACCCACAATACTTCACTTGGGAATTACCTAAACTAACTGGTTATCATAGTCAGGGCAAACTATGAAAAGATGCCTTATTCAGAGGTAGATAGGAGTGTTTCCTGGAAGTTCGTTTATGTTACAGCTTTCTATCATGCTGTTTTAGTTTCTCCTTTACAGTAGGTTTGCATATACAGTGACTTGGGTACACAAATACTTACTCTAGTCTGCACTGTTCAGACATATGCTCAAATTGTTCACAGCCTGTGTTTGCAGCTTTGTCTCTTCATGTACTTGGCTGCCTCAAGTAAAATTAGAATACTTGAGGTCGTGTTGTAGGTTTCTCTCATGTTACACCATTTTTTACGTTTGCCTATAGAAGTACCTAATAAAAAGTATGGGAGCAACTTGTCAGAAGCTCAAGGTTCATAATACTGGAAGATATCGGGGCAGCTTTGTTTTCTGCTTTAAAATGGGGTCTTTTGCTCAACATCCACATTTCAAAAAACCTACAAATGCACCACAAGCCTAAAAAAGTAGGTTTTCTTTCCCTTGCCCTGTGGAATGGGTACCCGTTGCTGCTGCATTCTGTGCATCACCTCTAATAGTCTGTGTTAGCTTCCTGTAGAGTGCTCTGTCAGTGACGTCCTGGTGCTTCGAAGCACTTAATGGTTTGAAGCCAAAATGAAACATGCACCAAATGGCCAGACTTGTTCTGCTATTACTGGGATCAGTGCTCTCTAATGTCATTGTAGTATTTTTCTTTTATTCTTATACTAGCTATTAAAAGATGCCTTCTGTCAGAACAGAGGTAGGAGGTCTTTTGCAGACTGCCTCTGGAGGAAAGGTTGTCTGCTGCATGCCTGGAGGTCTAAACCAAATAATTAAGTACAGTTCTTTTTAGATGTCCTGGTTTGTCTAATTTTAGTGTGTTTTCCTAATTCTCAGTAATTAAAGATGGCTGTTGAGCTGCGTCTAATGTATGCTGTTACTTTGCGTAATTACTTATATTAGTGTAATCTTGTAATATTTCTCTAAGACTTTTTGGCTTTTAATATGTGGTTTTTTTTTTTGTAAAAATAATAATAATGTAGATGTGAAACATTTATCTTCAAATTTGAAAGCTGTTAAATAACATAACTGCTTTTTTGCCTGCTAGTAATTTGATAAATTATAATAAGCTGAGTTTGTGATGAAGGAGCTAACTTTCTCATTTCCTTTTGACTTCTCTAGAGAAGTTGGAGATTGCCCCACCATCTCCAGGACAACTGAAACATGGTAAAAGAAGAATGTTTGTTGAATGTGGTTCAGTACTTGTGCAGACTGTGTTTTGAATTGCTTCATCTTTCTCCTGCAAATGCTGGTCTGCCCTCATTGCTGTCGTCTGGAGTAACAGAAAACCAAAGCAAGCACCAACAGCCACTCTGCTACCTTGATTTCATAACACCTCAGCTGGAGAATGTGCACCATTTAGTAAAAGTAGGACAGAAAGCCTAAATGAGAGTGCGTTGTTCAAAGCCAGCAGGAAGCACTGGTTTTCTAAGCCAAGCAGTGTTGATGCTGCATAACCTTGTGGGGGTTTTGTATTTAAAGCTATTGACTTGCTTCTAGTCGCCTGCATTTTAAATGGACTGAGAAGTGGGATAAAATTGCAGATAGATTGGAGATAGATTTGGTATTTTTTGTAATACCACGCTCATTCAAATTCTGGATTAGTTTCCAAATCAGTGTATTTATGTGGTTTTATACTCTCAGTTAGCAAATATATGTAGTTGGACCTTTTACTGTTCCACATATCTGCACTTACTTCTCTTTGTTTTTTTTTTTCTCTTGGTCCCTGGGATTCTGTTTACCCCTTGGATTCCAAAATTATAACAATTTTGGTAGGAATTTGAGTTCCCTCTGTAGCTCCAGAGTTTGGTGCACACATTTTGAAAATACTGGGCACATCTGTCATACCTGTGTGATTTTTTTTTATGTTTTTATTTTGGGAGGTTTTGTCTTGCAATGGTTTAAAACAGTTGGAAACTTTCATATACAGTCTGTGCTTTAGTCTTTCACTGGTGCGTTATGTGTTTTTACAAAGCAGCTCTGGAAGTCCAGGTTTGTTCTAGTACCTAAGCATGAAAGCTCTCTTGAGTGTGGCTTTGTTTTCTTGTATGGTCATGGGTTGATGCTGTCTGTGAGAGGTAAATGCAAAAGGGACTCATTCCAGTTGCTTTTCACACGACTGTGAGGTTTGTACACTTTTCTTTCTTCCCTCTTCCTATGCTTGCATCTCTGTAAGTTTATGAAATACAGGAGTTGTTGGTCCCATCTGAAGTGAATTAAACCTCAAACCCAAACAACTAAAGAGCTGATGCATTTTAAATGTTAAAAAGAAGTTCTAACTTTAAGCTGTATTTTAGTCATGTAGTCTGTCCTCAGTGTTGTATTGAGTCTTATGAAGCCAGCACCTGAAAGAAACTCAGCTGGAGGCTGTGCTATACAAATTCAATCCCATCTCTATCAGAAGCTTACAAGCTAAAATTTGAGAGAGAAAATGAAGCAGGACAAAAAGGAATGACACGCTAACACTGTACTCGTTAGGAATTATTATTCAGACCAGCATGCTCCAAGTCCCTACAATATAAAATATTTTCACACAGGGTTTACTTGGAGTTTCAGGAGTAAAAGGAAGAAAAAAACACATGAAACAGAAGGTGGAACTTGAATTCTTAAACAGTGGATTGAGGAGCAGCTTCAAGTCTGACTTGCTCTCAGAATAGGTCCCAACTAAAATCAAATCTTTGTTTGAATAGTGAGATAATTAACGTTGTGTGACACCAGTGAAAACCATCCAAACATCTGTAGGTTTAGTTGAATGAGTTTTGATGAGAATTGCCTGGCTCCAGGCAATACTCTTAAAATATGAATTGTTAGGAGTGCATGAAAAAGAGCTTTTGCACAGGAATAGAGAGGGATTTGCAGAGAAAGGGGCTTTATTTCAAGCAGGAGAAGAGTGTAGAGAGTCTAGTGAGGCAGTCTGGTAATCCTTAGTGATACTGTGACTGGTTGGAAGGACTAAATAGTACCAAAGTTTGTGTAGTTTCAGTGTTTCTTTTGTGCTCTAGTAGGCATAAGTGGCTTACATCCAAAATTGTACAAGTATTTGCAGAGTAAGTTGCTTTAACTGATTCTTCAAAAGCTGCTAGTAACACTCAGGTGTACCAAAGGCTTTTACTAAACCTGCCAGAAACAAAGTCATCAGTAGAAGCAGTGGGAAAGGGATTTTGTTTATGTTCTCTTTGTTTCTCTTATAGGCGGTATTAGACTGATATTGCAGTTGTTGTGAACTAGTGAACTCTTACAAATATTTACTTTCTCTTTGTTACTTCTTTCTTTTAGTGTTCTTCCACAATGCAGTACCTTTTGTAGGGTTTGGATTTTTGGATAACGCAATTATGATTGCTGCGGTAAGTTCACTGTTTTTTTCCTCAATCAAGTCAGTAAGCTTCATATCGTTCAAGTAGAATAAAACAGACTAGATTGAGAGCTTCAGTAAGACACTGTATCAACTCACCCTTTTAATCTTTCTTCTTTAAAGAGAAAGACCATGCGGTCTTCAGCCTTTGCCCAGTGCAAAGGAGCATTGTTCCTTCTGAAGGCCAGTATTGCAACAAAGTTTACTGAACTGAGAAAAAAACTTGCTTTTTTTCCTCTCTTAATCTGTGCTGTAAGACACATTTATGATCTTGTAGTTGATATGTTTTTGTACTGACTGATTATAAAGTGATTATAACGCCTTGATGAATGCATCTTCAGGGCTTTTACTCATGTGTTCCTTTGTTCTGAGTGACGCAGGCACTGTTAGTGCTGATGTTGATTTGTACTGATGCAGCCTGGCACTTCTGACTAACACTCTTGACGTATTTTCTTTGTTTGGAAGATTAAATGGGCTAGTGGAACAGGAAGATTTATAAAGGCCAAATAAATTGTTCTTCCTGTAGATCTATTACTGAGGATAAATTCCACCTTATTCCATGAGGATGGTCAGGGGACTGGAACACCTCCTGTATGAAGATAGGCTGAGAAAGTTGGGGCTGTTCAGCCTGGAGAAGAGAAGGCTGCGTGGAGACCTCATAGCAGCCTTCCAGTATCTGAAGGGGGCCTGTAAGGATGCTGGGGAGGGACTCTTCATTAGAGACTGTAGTGACAGGACAAGGGGGAATGGGTTAAAACTTAAACAGGGGAAGTTTAGATTGGATATAAGGAAGAAGTTCTTTCCTGTAAGGGTGGTGAGGCACTGGAATGGGTTGCCCAAGGAAGTTGTGAATGCTCCATCCCTGGCAGTGTTCAAGGCGAGGTTGGACAGAGCCTTGGGTGACATGGTTTAGTGTGAGGTGTCCCTGCCCATGGCAAGGGGGTTGGAACTGGATGATCTTAAGGTCTTTTGCAACCCAAACTATTCTGTGATTCTGTGATTCACTGACAGTGTGATATTAATAGTGGAAAAATTGAGGTGGGAAAGGACCACAAGACCTATCAGGTTTCTAGCCTTTCGCTTGCTCAGGGTCTCTAATCTGTAACTTCCTGCTCAGAGCAGGATCACCTGTAAGGTCAGTCTAGGTTATTCATGGTTTCATCCAGTGGTACTTGAGAAGATGCAAGGGCAGAGACTGCAGAGTCTTTCTGGGTAACCTGTTCCAATGCTCAGCTTTCTTCACAGCGGAAAATAGTCTCCTGTATCCAACTGGAACATGTCTTGTTTTAATTCATGCATGTTGTGTCTCGTCTTTGGACCATGTAATGCTGTTTCATCATGCAGTTCACTGCAATTTTGTTTCTTCACCTAAAGAAGTAAGGAGCTAGAATACTGTGTTTTGTTTGTTCAGTATTTGTAGAAGTTTGTATTCAGAGCTACACAGCTAAGAATTACAGTGGGGGAAATGATATGCAGAGATAGGGGTTAGTTCTGTCCATTAGCTGGCCATTATGGAAAAATATAATCTATTAAAAGAGTATCAGAAGTAAGCTCTTGTCCTGGGGGGAAATATGTATGCCAGGAGGATGGGAGCTGTGCAGATCTAGTAAAAGTAATGTCCATTTGTCCTTCCAGTGTCAACATAAGCAAGCAATAAGCAATACTTTTGCTGGTTCACTCAGTGTAATCTATTTTAACTCCAAATATCTCAAGTAATGAGAAAATTCTTATTTTTCAGGGAACCCAAATAGAATTGTCAATTGGAGTTATCCTAGGAATTTCGACTATGGCAGGCAAGTAATAAAATGCAGTATGTGTCGACTGATAAGCACACTCCTATATTTTAGGCTGACAGTGGGCCACAGGGCTGGAAATGGCTCTTTGTTGGTCTTGCAGCTGCATTTCCTAATAAAGAAACAACCTATGGTTGAAACAAGGACATATTCCATTTGCAGAAATGGAATTTCAGTTCACATAGCTTTGGCAATGCTTGTTGTCCATTTTAATCTAAAAGCTCAGATCCTGGGTTGCTTAGGAAAGTGTATTTGCATTTCTGTAATGGGACTGCTCTATATTCCCTAGGGTCTGATCCTTAGGTATGCGTGTTTATGTATTTGTAAGTTGCTGTTTGCTTGCAGTGCAGAGTGAAGATCGGTGTTGGTGTCCTTTTACTGTGCTGGCCCATGTTCTTGGTGGCTTTTCTGCCTCCCTGTGATACCACGGGAAGGCCCAGCAGCCACCCTGCTCCTGCACTGGACCAAAACTGATAAGTTCTGCTCAACAGCTTTGGTGCCTCTGCAGTGTCAGAGGAGAGAAAATACTGCTGGATCCATCAGGTGCAGTGTGGCTTGAAGTCACACAGACAGCTTAAATGCCGAACAGATGTGCGGCATTTTTCTGTTGCAATGCAAGGCAATCACAAGCGAGCTTATCTCACTCAGATCTGCTGTGAAATCATGTATATTCAGTGTATAACTTCATTCAGTCGTATCTGCAGTATTCCTAATCTGACACAGTTTGTGGGTGTGCTAAAATGTTTATCAAAGCTACACATACGAGTAACAGCTCCTTCTGTTTCCCGTGCTCCTGCACCTCTTCAGGCACTGGAAGGCCTTGTTGGTGTCCAGCATTAGCTGTATGAAACTGCAACCACCCATGGCTGTTTTTAACTCTGATCTGAAGAATTCTTACATTGGTTTCCAGGTGTCTGTGACCTCTGTTTGTATTTGTCAGGTGTTCTTCGTGTGAGCTGAGAAAAATAGTTACACTTCCCTATTATTGTTAGTCTGCTGCTGCTGCAAACTGTAGTAAGGTCAGAGGAAAAAAACTCTTAAAGAGACTTACTTCTAGTCTTTTATGCTGTATCTACTGAGAAGAGTGACAGACACTGGGGCAGGGAGGGATGGTAACTGATTGGGTTTATTTGTAATGAAAATAATCCTTTCCCTTCTTACCCCCTTCTCTTCCCTTTTCCTCCCTCCAGCTGCAGCTCTGGGAAACCTTGTTTCGGATTTAGCTGGACTGGGGTATGTCTGAACTTGTGTTGAGAATATATGTATTGTTTTCCTCTCTTGCAAACACTGTTGGTGTTACTGAACTCCAACATTATAAACTGCTGAAATACAATTGTTTTGTTTCTTCTAGATCTTGAGTTTTGCTTCAGTAAACTACATGCCTGTAGAAGTGTATTCTAAGGAAAAGTTGGACTGTTGTGTTTTCTTGCCAAGGTTAAAACTGCAGTGTCATAGTTCTGAAACAGACTAACTGTCCTGTTACTGCAGTATTACATATTTTAAGGGATAAAATTGGGATTGGCATTTAGTCCGACTCAGTGTAGTCTGTAGGCAATGCTTGCTTTTAAGGAAGTTTTAATGAGAACTTCTTCTGCAAGAAGTGCTTTCGTTAAAAAACAAAATGGAAAAATACATTTTTTGTGACACAGTATGTTGCTATGGTAGAATATCCCTCATATACCTGCTCCGGTTGTTATAACTAGATCAAGAGGTATTTCCTTCTCCTCAGACAAAAGTTACGTATCTCAAATGCCTTTAGATCTCGGCATACCTACTGTATGGTGCAGTCAGATGCAGCTGACTTTATTTTTTAAAGGAATAATTGCTGAAAGTAAAGCTTCAGTTGTGACTCTTGTGCCCACTTTTCCTCTTTTTTTCCCTGCAAATAACGAGGCTTATTCCTAGTGTGTGTATGTAACCTTTCCGCCAGTGAAGGTTAACAAGCTCTGCAAAAATACAGTAATATTCACACCAGCTTTGTCTTGCTGCATGAAGTTTTTTCTGGAAATACTGTGTATCAAATTAGTAAGAAAATGAGTGAACTTGCAGTGCAAAGTATTCCAATCAGAAGTCTGATGATCGCACTTTGCCATATTTACCTCTTGATGACTTTAGCTGAAGGAAAAGCTATTCATTTTAAGTTCAGTGCTTCAGATACTTCAGAGTCCTCACTAGAAGTAATGTCAGATCTAAAATCGTTTGTTCTTGTTTTCTTGTTCTTCCAGTCTTGCAGGTTATGTAGAAGCTTTAGCTTCACGACTGGGTCTGTCAATCCCTGATCTGACACCCAAGCAAGCTGATATGTGGCAAACGCGTCTCAGTGCACACTTGGTGAGTATCCTGTAGTTAGGCACTGTTTGTGTGGAGCTTGTTTGGTTTAAACTAATATGTGATAGATCCTTTTTGTCACTTTTGCCATTAAATACTTAAGGATCACCAACATTTTACACCTTTCCTGGAAGGTTTAGTCGTGAGCCTGTGCCAGGGAGCATCATGAGACTGGATCATTTTGGGCTTGGGGTGATTTTCCATATGCAACAAGCCATGAGTGACTAGTACCATGGGCAGTCTCTGCAGTGACTTCATATATGCCATGGAGATACCTGGACTGAGCTCTGTCTACTGTGATAAGACAGTTATAACTCCTTAGTAGTTCACTCCCATACATTCTTTGTCAAGTGCTTGCTATTTATATACCTGTGCTAGTATGTGTTCATTTCTAATATTCTATAATTAGCTTGGATATGAAATTAGCTTTCCCCTGGGTAAATTTTCAGCATTTGAGTAATATTCAGTGTCTGGGTTTACACTTGTGGGACACTTAACTTGCAGATTCATTTGCAGGATTATTACTTAATTAATATTTAAATATTTGAAGTGATCCCACTTCGGAAATGAGAACATTTAGTGTATTTTGATGAAAGAATCAGATTATAAGAAACTGAGTAAAGAATCATATTCCTTTCACTTTGCCAGAATGAACCTTCATGGGAGAAAATATCATTGCAGATTTAAAGGAAGAGAAATAACACTGGCTACTGAAAACTAAGGGGAAAAGTCTGCTTTTAGCAGTGATAGATCAAAGCATTGAGCAGGGAAGAATTGGCATGTTTGTGGGCTGCTCTCTAGTCTGCCCAACCTAAGAGTCATCTTGCTGAAAGCTGAATTGGGAAAAGCCTGTCACTGCACTGCAGCGCATTCACAGCGCTTTTCTGTGAGGAGACTTCTGAGCATCTTTGCCTGAATGCGAGCAGTTTTTCTTTTATAACCATTGTCTCAAGTTTCTCAACGCTGTCCACCTGCTGCTGGCGATGTGGTTTGGATGTTGTTTGTTTTACTTTCGTCTCCTTTTGAATTCTACCTCTGAGGCAATTGTGAAAAACTGTGAAATGTTTTACAATCTTTTTTATTTATTATTATTGTCTTCCCCTTGTGCCTTTGCAAGCCATAGTGTTCACAAGGAATTCCTCATTCTTGACTTTGCATTGCCACATTCAAACAGATACATTTATAATTGCACATAAAATGTGCATGTGGTTTTGTTTGTTTCATCCCCCTTCTCTGTCTTCCTAGCCAGTCCTTTGAGTCTGTCTCCTCCCTTACCACCTATGCAGCTCTTCATGGGTCATTCCCCTCCTCTTTATTCAGAAATGTGCCTTTTATCACAGCACACGCTGTTTCTAACCTTGTCATATCTGTCTCTCTCTCATAGATTGTGTTTCTAGTCTGCATGCTAAGAAAAATATGGCTCCCAACTGAAAACTAGAACAAAGGGTCTGTTTTCCTGGTTGTGTTGGTACTACACAGCAAAGGAGTAACAACTGATCAGTGAGAAACTTACTTTTTTCCCCCTTTCTCTAGGGTAAAGCTATTGGAGTAACCATTGGCTGCATTTTAGGAATGTTTCCGTTGTTGTTCTTTGGCGATGAGGAAGAAAAACTGGAAGAAAAAAAATAACCTTTTTACAAGACATATACAAATGTAAACTACTGTACCTCAATTACTCGATTACGCTGTCAATATTTAGGAATTAACAGACAGTAAGAAATGTATAGACTTGGGAACAAAACCTTCAGCATGTCGTTTTATGGAAACACTAATTTATTGTGGCTTTGTTGTGTTCAGTACTTCTTTTTATAAGATATCATCTAACTTTTTATTTAATTGTAAATTTTTGAAGTGTTTTCACTTATGGCAAAATGTTTACCACGTTCCCCTTTGACTTTATTCTTTCATGGATTATGACTCTGATAATCCACCATGGGTGACAGTATAACTCTTGAGTTGCATATTGGTTGCTTAACAAATGCATGACAAAAATCTTACTGCTGTTCATCAGGTCCTTCAATGCAGATTATTAAGGAGGTCAGTGATGAGTAATTTGAAGTCCCTCACTTGCAAGATGTCTGGTTGCTCCCCTGACCAGCCATCAGTTTGCACTGCCTTTAGATTAGATATTTCGGTAATCTGTGACAGCCTAGTTTGCATTTTTCACAACACTGATTAAGTGTGTCTGAATCGACTTCTGAGATGATCATTTTAAGGATTTCACAAGGTAAGTGTTTCCAGTATAGGCTCTTTACCAAGTCCATTTTTTGGTGGTGGTTTAGCACCTTCTATATTTCCATATTTGCCTCTTTTTTTCCTTTGTAAACAGTATTTTGAGAATTTAGACATCTTAAATTTATCTTCCTGCCTTTTGAGCATGGTATTAAAGAATTCAGAGCAACTGTTTCAAAAATCCAAACAATTTTTTTTTCACTGTTCAGCTTAAAACGAGGTGTGAATAGTTGGGTGGGTGGATGAGGCTGGGAAACGCTTCAGGGTATGAATGAGTGCTGGTATTGCAAGTCTGTAATGGGTGGTTCAGTTGAAACAATAGTGTACCATCAGTCTGGATTAGAGGACCTGATCTGCAGATTAGAATTTTGTATTTAAGATTAAGCCTTTGCTACTTATTTTTTTCTGCTGTGGGACAATTAGTAAAAAAGACCCCAAACAACAAAAAAGGGAGACTTGAGGCCTTTTTCCTTTTTTTGCCTTTTATTTTTGCAGTCTTACTTGGTGTATTATAGATCTGACAGCGCAGACACATGTAACTGTGTTTTTTTAATGTGGTCATGAATAAGTTGATTATGACTATCAAATATCCATAATATTTCAGGATCTGACTTGCCAATAGCATAATGCTAAACTGATAACTGTTGATTAGGGGAGAGGGTTTCTTACCTGGTTGAATAAAATTTGGGAAAGACACTAAAAAGAGAGGCACAGCCGGGGCGCTCTGTTTTATTGCTGGAATTGTTGGCACTTCTGAAACCTGTAGAAAGAAACGTTAAAAGAATAAAAATGATGTCCCCTGTTGACTTTAATTTGCTGTAGGAAAAGTCTTGTTGTAATGTGTTATGTTTCACAGAGCTCATTGCTTTTCTCTTGGTCATAAATCTGACTTCTCTGTTCTCATTTCTAGAAGCCCTTTAAACAGCAGTACTGAAACTTTGGCATCAACCTTTAATGAGGGAGACAGTGTCATATCTGTTCTTTGAAAAGCAGACTTTGAAAACTTGCAGTGAGTAGTCCTTGTAGCATGTACAGTACTTTGTACATTAAACAATGAGAATCTGGACCAAACTGTCAATCTGAAAGAGAGTTTAGCCAGGCACGGAACACAAATGCAGAGGAGTTTTGGCTCTCATTTTCCAAGTTGGAAGCTTTATTGAAAAAACCCCAAATAAACAACAAAAGAAGCCACCAATCACAAACACCACAAAAAACATCCTCCTTAGAAAATTATGTGCTCTTCCCCCACAGATTGCTGCTAGTTTACAGTACTTCAGTGATCAGTGTTTTAGTCATCCAAACATTTGCCTTGGCTTTACCTTTTCTTCCTCTGCATGTACTTTTGTTTCTGGTATGTTTCTATACAAAGCTATAGTTCCCACATGTTCTTTTTTAACTGAAGTACACATCAGAACAATTTGCTTGTAGCTGTTTGTACAGTAATACCAACAGTCTTTCCCGTTATGATACTGGCATCTTCGTTGGAATCTTCAGCAGTGGCCAGACCTCTGTTCTTTGTCATCGTACCACCTGAAACACTGTTTTCATCACTTTTTTAGAGCTCATGAGAACAATGGGAAGGCTGTGTCAGCTGTCATAGTAGTTTTCATTTTATAATGGCAATAGGAAAGACCGTGTATTATTGTTAAGTAGCTTGTGTATGTAAATCGAGTATGTTTTGTTGCTGTATGTCAAACTATTGTACTGCAACCAATACTTTTATTGGGAATTAATGAACTAAAATATCTTCAAAGAAATTAATCATGTGTCGTCTTGTTAAACTATGGAGCTGGCCACAAAAATGTGGGGGGCAAGTGACACATGGTAAGAAATCTTGAATGTTTCAGGCTGTTGTCTGATACCGTCAATCAAGAAGGTGATTTCTGGGGTTTCAGTATTTGACAAATGTGAAGAAATAACTCATGATTTGAGAGGAACAGTGGCTCTGCTGGAGGCTGAGAGAAAGTGCTTGTTGGGGCCAAGCTGCCACCCTGAGTACAGTAGGGGTAGCTTGCTTTGCCTACAGGGTCTGCTCTTGTGTGGAGGTGGTGCTGCTTCATGTGGAAGATCTGTGCCAGATCTGTATCCTGTCTCCTCACAGGGAGGGTGGGTTTTTCTGGGGTGCGTGGATAAAGGTAATCCCTGATGGCTCTGATCATGACTTTTAAAACGCTTAAGACTGAAGACAGAGCACTAACAAAATACTCTTCTTCATTTCCTGTTGTCTTCTCTCTTCTCAATTAAAGGAAAACCAAACACTGCAGGCTTGTTCAGACACTTCAGTATTGCTCCATCTTTTTATTCTGTCGGTTGGTCCTGTGTTAATAGGAACTTTTTGAGTTAAAGGGCTGGTAGACCTGAAATTGTGTTTATTTTAAAATGCTGTCTTTTATTGTAACCTAAAATATAATGTATTTTTGACCGTATGTTATCTCTAGGGACAAAGAACATGCATCTGATAATATGGTTAACTAGATCTTCTTGTCAGTATTTTCTCATGCATGTACTTTTACATAAATTATTTGAATTCAGACAACATCTTTTGTATTGTCTTTAATTAAATTGTCAAACTTTCTGTAAACTTTTGTACTACAGCAAAGGTGTTCTGTGTTTCTTTATTAGACCAGATGCTGGAGGGGAAATGTTAATAATATCCTGTGGGTATTCAGCCTCAGCTATACAAACCAGGAACAGATGATTTGAGTTACAAGCAGGTGGTCCTTTGTTACTGTCATAGGAGATACCACCATGGTGGAGTGGTACTTTTGTCTCTTCATGCTTGGAAGAGCGTGATTTAAACAATTAAAATGTTTGCATGGTAAATCAGTGGTGTTTGTGATTAATATGAGCCAGAAGCCCACTTGGGGTTTATATGGAAACTAAACCTTCATGAATTTTCCCAGACTTTGGAGCTCTTCACTTTGTTTCACTCCTTGGTCACTTCCCTTCTGCGCATGTCTGTGCATAAAGAAGTGCTGTGAGTGGAATATCTGTACTGAAAGGATGGTCTTATCTCATTTTGACAACCTGTATAGCTGCATTGTGTAAATCTCTACATTAATGTTGTACAGAGTCTGTCACACTTCTGTCCGACATGTTTCCCTCTTCTCTGGTGTTTTACATGGTCTAGTGACAAGCTGACAGAGCAGTGATATATAAACTAAAGGTCTTAATAAAGCATCGAGGAATTGTCATCCTGCTCTGAGAGTCTTACGCCTCTGGAATTTTTTGACCTAAAATGCTAAGAAAATAGCTAGAGCTACCCCAGGTTGCAGTTAATACTCTCCTAACACAAAGTCAAGCTCCTGTTTTAAAACCTTCATTTAAAGTTTGCTTTGGCTTTTACCCTTGTCTCAGTGTTCAGGACCATGGGCATGCAGACTATTGCTTCAGAATAGTAGTATTTTTGGGGGCAAACTTTTTTGGGGCAATCTTAAAAGGCAGCCAACGTAAGTGCAAAAGGGTTTGACTTTGCTTTGGTTTGGAAGACTACCTCCCCTAATCAGAACCCACCTTCTAGAGACCTGTGAGTTTCCCTGTCCCTGCTCCCCCAAGAGATTGTCATCACTAGGGTTTGAGCAGTGCATTCTTTGAGCCTCAGGTGTGGAAATCAGAATAGTGACCTTGTGTAGCAACAGGGAGTGTGGATTGCTAATCTCTCCTGTAAGGAAATGATGCCAAGATAAGGCCTCTTGTAGCAGAGTGTAGGCAACTGACAGGAAACCGTTTTGGTTTAGCAGTCTTTACTTCAGTAGTCCATGGCTATCTAAGCACCTGGCTTAAATAATGCTGCTGCTATGAATGCTACTCCACGGTGTCACGAGTTGCTCCTTTTTGTATGTGTGCAAAGACTAAGTTGTGAAATACCAAAATTAGTTGAGTCTTCAAACCTGATACATTTTTGTGTCGCTTCTGTGTTCTGTTCTTCTGTTTATCAATGTCTCATTTATATATCTGTAATTGTGAAAAGGGCCTTATGCTTTTGCCTAGAGCATTTAATTAAACTGTAATTGTTGATATTAGCCATCAGTAAATAGATTATTATGAACTGTACCGAATGGGACCATCCACTGGTTAGTAAACATCTATCCGAATACTGAGATTTGTTGGATCTAGAGCTGCCATTCTTGTTGGGAAGAGGTTGCCACCAAGGAGGGTGGTAGTGCAGTAACACAGAGTGCTTCCTTGTCTTTGTACAGCATTGCTGCTTGCATTTGTCTGAGTGATTTGCACCCTGGTGATGCTACCTATTCTAGCTGAAAATGGCTTATCTGTTGCTTCCAGCTAGGACCAAGGAGGAAAGGAAGGAGAATGGGATTCTGGGGGATCATTTTCCCCACATGGGGATGCACATAGGATCTATTAAAAGAGAAAAAAACTACAATGATTTGCATTCATGCTACTTTCCTGCTGTTCTCTGTGCCTCAGAGTGCTCCTAACGTGCTGGGAGATAGGAAGAAAGAGCTGATGAGGCTTCCCTCCCTCTGAGTGGTTTTTCTGCACATCTCAGCTATTGAGCTGCCAGTAATCCCTGCATAGAAGTACTTGTCAAAGGAAAGATGATACTTAAATACCCCCTTTTGAGCACAGGAATCCTTGAATGGGAAGAGGAGAATGATTACAGGTGATCTACCTTTGCAGTACAGCTGCCTGATTACCAAAGACCACATCAAAACTGAGTTAGATCTTAAAACAGCCATTTTTGGTGAAGTTTGAAATGCACATCTGCAAGCGACTCTTTCTTATGTGGTTTCCCCTGATTAGTTACTTGCCCCATTTTGTGTAGGAGCACTGAAAGATGTTACTGTCCTTCTACCTGCTTTCCTGTATGAGAACACCATGGCAGGACTGGGAGAGAGGCTGTGACTAGAGCCATTGCTGGTAAGCAAGCATCACAAGAGGAGGTCATGCTGTGAGAGGCAGTATGATCTTCATTTATAGTCCTTAGTTGCCTTGTGAAGGCAGTGGGATGGTTCCTCTGGGAAAAGAAATTATTTTATTGGATTTTGTTAATTTATATTGAACTGCTGAGGAACAGGGGCATCCTTCATGGCGATGCTAAAAAAAGAGGCAGCTCCTTCTGACCTGGATTGGAAACCTTAACATCTCTTAGGGCAGTCATCTCTTTAACTCTGCAGTAGATGAATGACCTGGCTGAATGTTTCAGCTGGTTATGAAGTCCTGGGAAAGCCCAGTTGCATGCCCTGTTTCTATGGATTACCCAGGTGATGTGAATGGTTCAGGTATCAGTGAGCTCAGTCACTTACCAATACCCTGCAGGCTTCAAGGCTCAGTTTTCCTACACATTTGAGGGATTCCTGAAATGGCTTTTCTCTGCCTTTCCATATCATATATGGAAAGGCTACATTTCCCTATCGCATTTCCCTATTTCCATATTGTAACTTCACCTGGGTTTTACATACCCACTGACCCCTTTATATATGGTAGAAACCACTATGGAGTATGTTTTGCTAATGAAGGTGTCCAGGGTGGGATTGGTCATGCTCTGCAGGCAGGAGGTTATACAGCCTCTGCACTGAGAATACAATGTTAACAGTAATTCTTACTTTTAATATTCTCTAAGCTGTGCTGAGTGTTTGGAGTGTACTGGAGTTCCAGTGCTGAGTTTGCCCGGGTTTTGATCAACGTGGCCTATGCCACATTGCTTTTGGTAAGTGAAATTATTAATAGTGCAAGTTAGCTTGTCCGTGGAATGGAAGAGTTTATTTCAACTGTTTGCTGCTGTAAACCAAACCTACTTCAATTGCAGGTGGAGCAGCTTGGTAGTGAAAAGGTGACAGGGAAACAAGTGACTTAAGTAGAAGGTTGCCAGCAGCGAAGAGCGCCTGCTTTCTGGATGATTGTTCTCTGTGATGCTCCATGTGGGTAGCAAATTGTGACTTGTTTTCTGCTGCTGTGACAAACAGTGCAGGTGTCATGTGTGGCACAGCAGCTGCACAATGTAAATCACTTTACTAGAAAAATGAATCTGTTAAACAGGTTGGCCAACAAAAGGAAATTGAACAGCATATATGTAACTAATGTGCTGCTAAAGTGCTGTCAGCTTGATGCTGCTGAAGGTTGATACAGCACAAGGTGGGCCGGTGGTGTGATGTAACAAGTCTGGAGAGAGACTTTCCAGAAGGGCATGTAGTGACAGGATGAGGGGAATGGCTTTAAACTGGAAGAGGGTAGATCTAGGGTAGACATTAGGAAGAAATTCTTTATTGTGAAGGTGCTGAGGCACTGGCACAGGTTGCCCAAAGAAGCTGTGGCTGCCGCATCCCTGGCAGTGTTCAAAGCCAGGTTGGATGGGGCTTGGAGCAACCTGGTCTAGCAGGAGGTGTCTATGCCTGTGGAACCAGGCATGATCTTTAGGGTCCCTTCCAACCCAAACCATTCTGTGATTCTGTGAATAATCATTAAGAGAATTGTGGCCTGCAGCTTCTCCCTCTCAGTGCTGGGTTGGTTTGTGCCTCCCTGAGCCACATGGGGTTCTGGTGCCAGTGTGGGGGGCACATAATGAAACACCGAACGGTATAATTGCAAAAGAAGAGAACACAGAAGGGAAATAAACCCTCCCTTTAAAGAAATACCAACAAATTGCAAGTTTCATTAAAACATCTGACAAACTACCATAGCCGTGTTTCAGTCTAAACCAGCATCTTTCATTCTGGCAATTCTGCTGATGGTTGTAAAGCTGGAAGGTGTCTGAATTCCAGCTGAGAAAAAACCCTTTGGTGCAGGTCCTCTGTTGACTTGATTCTGATTTAAACTGAGTCATAGGGAACAGAAATGATGAGTTTTGCATGGTTTATTTCTTAAACCTTTTATTTTTCAATTTAGTAAATCAGGGTGCTCCCCATATGTGCAGTCAGCCTGTAAAAGAGCAAGAGTTGCTTTATTTAGGTTTATGCTTGTAAATTATTATTGAGAACAATAGTGTGGGTTTTTTCCTCTATGACAATAAAATAATGCATTTTAAAACTGTTATCATATGGTTCTTAGCTGGATAAAAACTGTTAAGATAGGATCACATGTAAACATATCTCTCACTCATAATCTAAAGTGGCAGAAGTTATTAGGATGTACTTTCTTCTGTAATGGTAGTCTGTGTTTCACTTCAGTTGGGTGATGGCAATTATTAGTGCACTTCATGTATTTATGATTTATTTCCTTTAAAAGACCTTTCCAGATGTGATGGAAGATGCAGTGGTAGCTACCTGTTCACTCTGTGGTTACCACATTGATTGCATAAATTCTGTTTGTTTCTTGCTCTCCAAACTAAATAGGCAGCCTTCTGTTGCTTCCAATTCCAGCATTGATCTTGCATGCCTCCTGGTGAGGTGGCCATGAATGTTGTGGAAGAGACTTTTTCAGCATAATTCCTCCACCAAAATAATCTGTCTTGAGTCATCAATTCATGCAAATCAAGTTTCTGATGAAGCCCTTTAAATATAAATCTCTGCGATGTGCTGTGACTCACAGACACACACACACACTTGTGATCTGGTCTAGTAGAGTCATGAATCTCTGTTTCAGTTCCTGTAGTGCTTTTAGGAAGGATTTAGGAACTCATCTGACCTGTCTCTGTGAGTGGATGGATGGGGACTTGGATGCCCACATGCAGTCTGTAACCCTGCCCATTGCAGCATGGGAGAGACAGTGTCCACATTGCACTGGTGCCACCACGTGCCCTGGGTTTTGCTACACTGACAGCTCCGATGATCCTGATTGTGTAGCCAACAGCAATTCCTGTGTTGAGCCAGAGACCCTCGTGGAGCAGCACCCATGCTTTCTGCTTGTAAAAGCAGAGACCAGAGAGCAAGTGCAGGGACTCAGAGCCTGGAAGGCTCTTGCTGTCGTGGAACGGCTGTTTAAGGGAGCAGTCTCCTGCAGGACAAGTGGCAGGTCGGTGTCTTCTGATGAACCAGAGTCTGTGTTCTGTGATCTTGCCTGTATCTGGAGCTGTCTTTGACTCAGTATGCACTGTGGGTTTTGTGTATTTTATCTCACAACCTCATCTAATCTTATTCTGGGTAAAGTTTACCATTAACATCCTTTTGGTGTGTTGGTGGTGGGGTGACTGCTCTTACTTCCTCTGGGTTGTAGGAGAATGTAGAAGGAAGAGTGGTGGGACAGAGGGTTAGAACGAAAGGCAGGGGAGTTTCTACATTTTTCAACATGTTTTTTT